GTGTTCTTTTTATTTTTCTTCTTTTTTTCCCTTTTCTTTTGTAAAAAAAAGCCGGGTACATGCAATTTATACTCAGCTTAGAAGATTAAACCTTAAGAACATGTAAATATGTTAAGATATGACAAGCTCAGGCTTTTTTGTGCATAAGGAAAAGAATAATGTAAATAATTATTTGAAACAGAAACATCCCTTTTTAATCAAGGTACCTCAAATGTTACGGTAGACAACAATACAATATATATCCTTCATTGAAAATACATTTATTGGTTAAAATACCACAATTTGATTATCATTTCAACATTATTAATTTTGCTTCCAGTCTGGCTTTATGTTTAATCAACATGAATTTTTTATAAGATAATCAGACGTTGTGTTGATGCACAATATATATAAATTGTCAAGGTCATTAAATACTTTAAATTACAGTGTCTATCGTTGTTCATAAAATAATCTTAAAGGTCTTAGAGTTGCAAGACTTTCTATGGTCCTAAAGGAACATTGTTCCCATCATGTTATTGTTGAAGATAGAATACCGCGTCAGGCGGTGCTAGGGGGTTGTGTGACAGACGTTATCTCTAATAAACAACCTTAGTAAAGCCAAGTTTGAAATTTTATCTAATTTCGTTATTTCCATTGCTCCCATGAGGTCACCACTTTTCCTGATCTTAATCTTCGAGAACAATAATACGAGGATATCAGATGAGGTCATTTAGTTCATGTTACAATGTAGTTCATTATGGTTCTCAGTTGTTCTGTTGTTGCTGCTGTTCAGAAACATTTCTGTAAAAACAATAACTATTCCAATACATTTCATACTGTATGTATACAAAAAACAAAACAAAAACCTTTCAACACTTTTTATATTGGCAAACGAGTCAATTTAAATGTACATGTAATCTTTTTCATTGATGCCAGCACTATTAAGTGTTGAGAATTCAGTACCGCTCAAGCCGGTGCTAGGGGGCGTGAGGGATGTTGCACTCATTCATTATCCCTCATGTACAGACTCAATCAAACCGAGTCTGCAATTCTTACGTAATTTTGTTGTGATTAATGCTTCCGAGGGATCACTTTGTTTCCAGATTTTAAGACGGTTTGACCTAAACATGCTCCTTTTTGCACTCAACGCTTCCAATACATTTACACCATTACATCTCATTTAGATATACAAAACAATATCATCGCTCGTTCGTGATTAAGATAAACTTCAGAACAATTAATTGCTTTTAACAGATACCCTCGTCAATCATAGAAAATATTACGTCCGATAGTGTTCTGTACGCTACAACCCACATAATACTGTGCAGCATGTGTTGCTATCGGGAAAAGTAACGCGGGCTTGGCAGCAATGTCGACTTTTAGTACTATATCTCTAAAAGTATGAAGACTCATGCAGATGAGACAAATTCTAGTGTATTGGTTCAAAGTGTTGTTTATATTCACGTGAACTCATTCGCTTCTGAGTAATTTATTTTCTGAATCATATAACGCTATACAGATTTTCTTAGACTTGCAACCCGGATTTTGTCCTGGACGTCTCGGTGAAAAGTTCAAAAATAACAGGATATAAAGTCAATGTATAAACAGAGATTCTAAGAAATGTGTCAGACGTTAAAAAGAGAAGAAACTTGGAAACAAAAACAAAACTTTATTGGAAAGAAAGCATGATTATTCTTTTCAGAATACATGTAACAGTAAAGTTAAATAATAGGAATTAATTTATTGAAAATAACAAAGGTCCTTATGAGACTTTTAACGTCGAATGAACTTACATATTTTTATGATACTAAATAGTGCAAATGCTTCAATCAACATTATTAAAAACAGATTTTGTTTTCAACGTTACGTAATGTTTTCATAGGTTTTAATAATAAATATTTTGCGAAACAATAAAGAAGTCTGAAATGGAGGCCAGTGAATGTTTACATTTATAACCATAACCATGTATGTAATGTATGTTGCATAGTTGAGTATACATGTTAAGATATATATTTAGGCACTTGTTTGCGCTGCAAAAATATTCTCAAGGTCGCGACTATTTTAAGGACAGATTGTCTTGAAATTGGGCAAGGCTATTTTTAAAATGTGACGATCGTACTTGTGTAAATATTGCAGATGTTTTTTCAATAAGATATGTACTAGTTAAATAAAAACCTTAACGTGCTTGATAGCAGGACGTGTAATCACTAATCAATATAGTTACACTTGACACTGTGTATCGATATTAATGAATTGAGTGGCCTTGAATTTGGACAACTATGTTAATTTACTTCCTGACAAGGTTTTACCTTTTGTTTATTTGAAATAACACATTAATTTATGTGTAGTATTTTGTTTATCACTGCATCATTGACGCTGATTGTCAACATCTGTGAGCAGACGATAATCAGCAAACGTGTTTGTCACATATCGAACATGAAGCGGACGATAATTTCTAAATATTTTGATACTGTTTCTTTCTAAAGTCAGTTACATCACGTTGTCATCGTGACCTTGAAAATTTCGTTTTGTTTTGTCGATGAGCGTTCTTCAATGCGTTTAAATTGATACAAGATAAGCAATGTCAGCAGTAAAATGGAGGCTTGGAATAAAGCTTCAAGACCCAATTAATTGAGATGAAACCGACTTCATTAATTATAAGTTTACGAGGAATCCTAATGAATTAAATCCAAGTTTCAACTTGCTGCCGGATCGATAGCAGACAGTAACAGAATAATACGATTAATGAGTACTTTTTTTAAGCTCCGGGTTATTATGATGTCAATATCTTATTGTCGGAGTTTCGGGCGCACGGTAAACAAATTGCCATATATAAAAGATGCCTCGTCTCACGGGCTTGTTTATGAAATTCGATCGCATAACAACAATGTCTATATACATGGACCGCTTGAATTTAAACCATGCAGACTAGTATACCGGAAGTAGAGATAAAACTTAGTATGCAAGATGCGCTTCCCTAATGGGCATTTAATATATTGTGTTCGCTTAATCATCGAGGAAAATGATTCGAACTAAACAATGCAAAAAGTGCACAGTAAGCAACGTTACAATTTTCTCCCCGGTTTCATTTCTTGAGCTGTTCATAAAAAAACTCTTACAGTTTCGGTTTTTTTTCCTGATAACTTAATTATGTATCAGTGATACTAAATCAATAGGGAACTCCTAAAATTAAATTGTTTACTGAAACATTGCATTTCTAAAATTCCAAAACTAACACCTTGTTATATCAAAGTTATTTGAAGCAAAAGTGGATCATTTGCGTAATTTAATAAGGATAAAAACTGAAACAAAAACCGAAATAATCGTGCGTTGATTATTTCTACGTGCTTGTAAAAACTCAGGCCTCTCCTGTATAACTGCTAATTGCTGAATGTTTCTACAAATCTTAACAGCATTAATCATAAAACATCACATTTTATAAATAAAGATTAAGGAATGCGCATTTCTTTTGTTATAATTCGTCTGATCACCGTCCTCAAACGCGCAATAAATTGTACACTCCTTCCCATGCTACTTTTATAACCCATTCCCCTATGTTACTTTTATAAACTATACAGGGACATCTGTTGCCAGGAAGTTAAGGTCGCTGACTTCGAGGACTTGTCCCTCATTGCTGTGGGTTCGAATCCCGCTCCTAGACGTTGGATGAGTTCATTCGAGGGAGCTAGCTTATCCAGCTCGCTCTGTAAAGGTCGTTGGGTTATGCTCAGGCGCCCGTTCGTGTTTCTTCCACGTGAAAATCACCATGTGAAGTTAACGACATTTTTGTGACTTTTTCATACCAGTCATATATCAAAAAAAAATCAGAAAGGTATATTATTGAAATGACATTCGAATATTTTGATATCATGCAAAATAATAACATTAACGAACAATGGTTCATATTGTAGAATACTCGTGAAGTTCGAAAACTAGCACGCATTGCTCGTGATCAATAATCGATCAATAATTGTTATAAAGATCTTCCTCTTTCAGATATACGAAAACTGTCGTAATAACCAAGTTTTTATCAGATGTTTTATATAATGTCATAAATATCATGCCAGTGTAAATTTACCAATTTACGCCTTATTTTCGGTTCTCCAGTGCTACTATTTATGTTATAATTAGGTTTTAAAAGTACAGGTTTAAATATTGAAGTTCAAGTTATGTGACAGTAAATTATGTACTTGATTTTAAGTTCGGTTTGGGATAAGGAAATTATCTGCATCAATACATTGTCTTATACGTCAATCAATAAGGAAGCAGGAAAAACTCTTATTAAATCACATTTACAATTAAAGCATTGTTGGTCCGTTGTTACTTGGTATAATTTATGTAATTTATGAAAGTGTCAGTATGTGGCTCGAAACTAAAGCCCGCATTCATTTCATTTCAAATAATTTTAGATCTTTCGAAACCTTTTTTTTTATTTTGTTATAATTGTGTTATTTTTGCACGTTTATTCTCAAAGTTAACTTAATAGTCAGGTATATAGATCTAAATCGATTTTGAAGGATTGATTTGTTTAAATGATAGTCACACAAGGAAAGAAATGAAAAAAAAAGAATAGATATCCCATTCTTTAAATTCGGTTACCTGATTGTGCTTAATATTATAAACTACCCAATCAGAAACGTCCCGGAAGTTTTAAAAGTACAATCGATCACACAATATTTAAATGTCCGATTTCCGCCTTTATTGCATTATTATTTTGTATGCATTTTATTTTGTTTTCGTTTTGAAAATGACTATGAAATTTTTCTCTGTTGTATATATATCAAAACATTAAAATTAGTAAAATCATCGTTTATTTAACAGTTGCGGTAGTGTTGTAGTATATAGTAGTAAAATTTTCATTCATAAATTCCACGAAACAATTAGTCATCGTCACATGAGAGCGGCAGTACATCGTTGTTTTCCGGAATAATTCGGACACTCTCGGTTAGCGTTATATTCAGTTACTTCGCGTTAACCCGTAAAGTATCGGCCACGTTACGCTTTGCTAAATGTACTGGTTACTCATCAACAGTTTTACAAACGTGACGGGTTATTTTTAGATGTGAACGCCGGAGAGGTTTCAGTTGCGAAACTTTAAGGCGATAATCTGTTTAAAATTAAGAAAAGGAGGAAAAATTAATTGCTAAAATGACTTTAACGGACCTTACAAATTCCGTGGAAGGCAATAAACCAGAACCGTAAGTTAAACCAAATGTTTTCTTTTATATTGACTGTTTATCCACGTTGGCAAGTACGCTACAATAAACAATTCATCGGCATACATTGTTTTTGCATGGAAAAACTATGTTTTCTATTCTAGCACGATTTCTATATAGATTTGTAAGTTTAAGTAAGAAAAGTGCAAAGTATTGCAAAATACTACTACTGACAGCTCAAGTTGCAAAATATTTACCTTGTAAAGTTGTATGTTTTTATTATTTCATAATATATTTATTTCGTTATTCACTGTATATATTTCGCCTCAACATTAACCAGTTAACCTCCTTGATTTATCTTTAAGAATATAGGCTTATGCAACAAAGGAAACCAGTATTTATCTTTGTGCGCAATACTTTTTGCAGACCAAAATACGCCCTGATTAAAAACATTATTTAGGGTGGAGAACGCATATTACGGTCCAGTTAACATTTTAAACACTTTTAAAGTACGTGAACCCTGGCTGAACAATAACTAGGTCTTAACAGGGACAATGATTTTTTTCCGAAAAGCTGTCCTTAATACATCGTCGGATACCCACGATTGATAAACATGTCACATAACATGCAATCAATGATAATGGTTCGGCCGTGGGTATCCGACGATGTCCTTAATAAGGCCGTTTGCAAAAAAAAGTGGAAAGGCGAACAAAGAGATGCGAAACTAGGTCATTGTGTATTCACTTTATTATTTATCATGATGGACAGTATAATGGTATGTGCATCTTACAAGTCATAATTAATGCAAATCACCAATGTATAATTTGCTTTATTTTCTCGTTTTTTGTTGTTGTTGTTCCGAGACATTAGACCATGCATTTTATAATTCATTGTCATGCAACACTTACATGCATGCTTATACGACGAACTAATTGTTGTTATTTCGATTTAAGACAAAAAATGTATGTACTGAGAGGCGTATATTTTCCCTGAAGTTATAAAAACTTTTATTTGTGGAAACAGGATGTAAAATATTTTCTCATCACGAGATGTCTTGATTATAACAGGGAAATTTTTACTCTTGCTTTCGGTTCATTCTTTCAGAGACATAGATGTTATCTATGTCTCTGATTCTTTATTCATCTTGTTTCTGGCGCGAATTTTGCTTCTGCCTCCGTATCTTTGTTGTGACTGGACCAGGCCTAGGCGACACCGTATTTTTTTACTTAATTTATTGCAATACTCATATATAATAAGGATCGAGCGGTAAACCTCAAGCTCGGTTGACGTTATTCACTATCAACTAGGTTGTAACCGACCACTTGGTCTGCTTTCAAAGTGTGTTTTTTTTCCTTCAAAATTTTCATTTCAAGAGGTTAAAGTCCCCTTTGAAATTTATATCAAATGTGCATTATTTATATTACATATAATTACACGTCACATGATCTTTGCGTTAAGTGCTTGTTGAAAAACACAATAGCTTGTCATTAGCTTAGTAGTATTGTCTTATTTTCTTGGAAGAAAAACACCAAGGAAAAATAAAAACCGTGCAATAAGATTTGCTAACCGGCCAGGGTCTAGAGATAACAAATATTTGAAATATTTGTAGGTAAGGAATGTGTGCGGGACACCTTAACCACAATGTTAACGGAATGTGTACTAAATAACTTTGCGCTTTCGATATGATAAACCGAAAGTAAAAATCAAATTTATATATAAGGCGTATACGGAAGACCTAGAAGTGATTGAAATAAATGTGATTGATATAAATGCTCATAATTATGAGATGTTTAAAAAAGTATTTTCTGTTATAACATTATTATGTAAGAATACCTTAAAAGCAATCAGTGATCAAGTCCCCACTTGTCTGGACTTCAGCCCAGGTAAAACATACATCACGAACCAGGCACCGCGCCCATCGCCACTTAAAATGAGCTCTCACTGCAAGTAAAACATACATGTAGGAAAATACATGCATTGCCTAAAGTAAGAAAATATTTACCTCTAGTTTGCATAATTGTAATACTCGGTTCACTTTAATGAAACAAGTTCAAACGGACACTAAGTAAATAGTGCACGTAAAAAAACAGGTACATGGATACAAATATCTCGGTCTAATTATACGTCTGCAAGTATCGATCCGCGTGAACTATTTGTTTACCCCGTTACTAATATACACTGTGATCACCAGATTCCTTATATCAGCTGACAAAAGAACTATAAACCTATTTCAGATACCTAAGAGATATGATTTAAATGAATGGGTATGCAAATATGTTTAAATATGTTCAAATTTAAAATTAATGTGCGCAAATCAGCCGATAGCATTGGTTAATACGAATTTTGACCATAGATAGTATTTAAAGCATCATTTTAATCGGTTCTGCATGACTTTAAAAAAAATAACAACTTGTAGATTCGATCTATTTTACACTTCTATAAACTTAATGCACATATGTTGTTATCTTCGTTGCTTTCATCATTTAAGTCTATATTTGGGTATGAAATCGTGAGGTTAATGCATTTGAAGCGTATATAAATAAACGCTAAAATTTATACAATATTTTCATGTTAACTGGTGCGAGTCGCAAAGTGATGATCTCACGAGAGCGTCCTATAAGCTTATCCATTGTCTTCACGTGAACTTTTTTCAGCGTTTTCATGACCTTGATTTAATCTGAATCATTGGATGACACCACCTTTATGACTAATCTGAAGAATAGCATTGAGAGGGTACGGACGGCCGCCACATTGTTATAACACCCGTAATAAATGACACATTTAGAGGTCACAGTTCATGTACAGTGATTTGCAAAATTAAACTGCTGTGCATCTGTTAAATCTGCTACTTGTTTGATTACAAAGGGGAAAGCACCAAAATGACTCAGGCAAAATTCGGTCACTAGCTGAATGTGTTAAAATATTGGAAAAAATGGTGTATGGTGTGATTAAAGGGAGATAATCAGTATCGCTGTATATTGTATTTATTGGACTGATTCATAACTACAAATACGTTTGTTGACTCATGTTATTAGTAACCACTGTGATCCGTTTTCCCGCGGATACTGAGTGCATGAACACTGACATTCCATTCCGTAAAATTCTGGTGCACAGCAAATTTTATATCAAGCGCTTTAAAGCTGGAATAATTTTTTATTAAGTGTTTTAAGTGAATATGATGGGGAGGTAAGGACATATTATGATATATTTATAAATGAAAGTAATTAATAACACATAAAACTCGGCTTCGTTTTCAATCTTAAGGCTGCATTCTTAAGTTTTATTGCATCTTAGTGTTCTTTTTCAGTGCAACGTATATTTCGGCTTAATTAATAGATATTCATGGGAAGCTGTGCTGCGAATTATTAATGCACTACGGAGTACGTTGATAAATTTGAAGAGTTTTATTTATTATTCATACATAAAATTGTTCTGAAAGTTAATTGCATGAAATACGACCATTATAAGTACTTTAGGAAATATTATAATAAATATTTATAAAAACAAACAGGTACGAATGACAGAAAGTACGAAACAGTTGGTACATGTATTTTGAAGTGCATATCTATTGGCATTCCTCGTTAACAAAACAATCCAAGGTTATTCCGAGCACCCTGAATACCAGATGAGTTATTTGTTACGCTTGTTATTTCAGAATAAAATATCTTGCGAAATAGTTTCGCTTTATCAAGATGTATAAATAGATGTACTTTAACAAGTAGTAGGTTATGTAATAAAAAAGGTCATGCAATTTCTTATCGGATACAACTGCACAACTGAATACAGGAATGCACTTTTAGTTATGGGACGAGTACAGAAATGCACTTTAAGAAATGTCGTAAAAAAGTAAAAAATGGGGATCTTATGATTAAACTTTCTGCAGGCCTGCCATCAATATAAAAGTTACGGAAACAATTCGCATATGTTTTTAAACATGAATGGCGTAAGGTAAATTTTGCAGAACTGAGTTGATTTTCTTAGGATAAGTTGCCGATTGTGACGTAAAATTTGCACACTAATAACATTATAACATTATTACTAGTATCATCTAATCACCTCCAAATCAAACTTGGTTATATATTTTGTATCATTATTACCTTTCTTACATTTGCAGGTCAGTAGTTGACATCGGACAAGTGCTGGTAGAGGTTCTGAAACAGGCCGTGTCACAGGGGAGGATCACACTTGGAGGTTTCGAATGCGCCGAAGTTCTTGAAACGTAAGTTTTTTTTCTATATGCCTTATTTATACAAGGACTGGTTAATTTCAATATGCATGGACAGTTTTTAATTTACTTCACATTAATCTTGCTGCAATGTACATCTTCACATATATTTGCTTATACAGAACAGAGTTCCCGTGTGTGTGTGATAAATACTCCACGTGGTAGATCGTAACTTAAAGTACGTGAATGATGAAACGAAAATTTCCACAACCAAACGCAAACAGTATAAAGAATACGAATACGAATATTCGTATATAAGATACATGATCCTATTTTCGAATTATAGACAAGGACATAAGGTTTTATGTATAATTTTGGAAATTGAAAGGACTACACCTTGACCTTTAAATTAATGAATCACACATTTATAGGCCTAGTTGCGCCCATGAATAATATCTGTATATAAATAAAAAGATAATGATACATCAATGACGAAATGACTTTCAAGACTTGCCTAACCCATCGTAAAGCGACTAGTTTACTATATTCTTGTTCATTCTAGAACCTGAAGGTTAAAATGTTTTGTCTTTTTTCGTATGACCATATTTGGTCATATAGTAGAAATACAATATTGGAGCGTCTACAAAGATCGATATTATATCCCACGCAGCAGACTACAATTTTATTCTTCACTTCTCTTGTGATTAAAGTGCAAAAACATTGAATGTTTCCCGTCATCTTTGTATTTTAGATGAGCAGTGACTTTCCCAAGGATTTCATATTGTTTATTTTTTTAACATTTCATAAACACTCCCGATGGGCAATGGCTAATGAATTTTTTCTGAATGCAATAAAAAAAAATTCTATATTAAGACGATTTTAAGGATTGAGTGTTAATTTGCTGTGTTTCAAAATAAGTTAAAACTTAAGAAAGGAGATTTATAAATAAAGTTCAATGACACAACATTGGTCATTATGCATTGTATTCTCTGGCATTGTTTAACATTTGGAACTTTCAAAGTATTCAGGAACTGTCTAATGTATTCATGAGATTTTTGAAAAGTATTAGACCGTTTTTAACGTGATTTTATGATTGCAATACCCATAATTATGGCATAACCACAATCCACTCCCATTTCCCTACTAAATAGTGAAGATATACAGTAAGGCACCTACACGTTTGATGGATATTGAGAAAGCACGAGGCATGTTTTGTTTGTTCGTCTGTATACAAGTGTCCTATGCATCATGCTGTGACATGTAAACGATTTTGTAATTAATGAGCTGTGTCATGACAAAACCAACACAATGGGTTTGCGACCAGCATGGATCCAGACCAGCCTGCGTATCCGCGCAGTCTGATCAGGATCCATGCTGTTCGCTATCAGTTTCTCTTCTTGTTATAGGGTTTGTAAGCGAACAGCATGGATCCTGATCAGACTGCGCGGATGCGCAGGCTGGTCTGGATCCATGCTGGTCGCAATCCCATTATGTTGGTTTTGTCATGACACGGCTCATATTTTGATTAATCATCGAGCGCATGCGCGTGCTACTTAATAACCTTGCTAAAGTATTATAAAATAAGTTTACAGAGTGGTTAAAATCTATGCTATATGTAATACACATCAGTTAGTAGTATTTAAAGTCACGCCACAGTTAATGTCACCCTGTGACATTTCAGCTTGACTGGTAAGGTACGAACATGCATGTTATGTACTGCCTTTCCTTTCAATTAGATAAAAAACGAATGAAGAAATAAAATGATTGAAATAAAATGAAAAAATATAAATGACAGCCAGCATTGATTCTGTAATATCAGTTTAATTGATAAAGCATTAGGCTAAATAAACACATGTTGATTTGATATGTAATTTAGAAAGCACACTTGCATTAGGTTGCATGCACCTAAATATATATGATGGAAATAATTTAGTCCTACTTGTCTGTTTATTATGCGTAATGTAAGCATGTACATGTTAAAATATATCAGCATCAGAAACAAAAGTGCACGTTACAGTGAGTAATATGTTTTATTCATGTTTTACAGGTGCCCAGAACAAGTGATGCTATGTATATTACCGAAGGTATCCGACTCAGACACGATGATTAATATTCAGCACAAATTGATTGAGGCACATTGTTGGGAGAACGATGTGAACGTTGTTAAGGTACATACTTTCATGTATTTCTATAGTAGGACAAATACCAAAATCCAGTATGGAGTTTGATGTATTGTGGAGTTTTAATTAGAAAGTTTAAAATGCTCTCATTATTATTATTATTTATTATTATAATGTATATTTTGTTGACTATATATGCATTTATATATACTTGATAATGGCATCTATATATACCTTTTCATTTAGATAAGTTTGCTTTGAAATAAACGTTTTACTTACGATTTCACACACAGAACAAATGTAGTGTTTCAAGGTTTAAGTCTACATTGCGATAGTAATGGGCTCCCTGTGTTAAAGGTTACAAACTTTAGACATTTTCTCAGCTCAAACTAAAATCTCAGGTATTGGATTGGTAAAAGAACAGGATAGAATGTACAATGCCCGATGAAAGTACTTAGATTGAAGGGAGATCTCGTGGAAAAGTTTTAAAAATTTCCAGTACTTTTCTTGTAACAATCCCATTTGTTTATAAAAAAGAAATGGCTTTCAAAATAAAACAAACATCGTTATTATTTATACCTATTTATATTATACTGTTAATGAATATTAGCGACCGAAACACATTATATCAGTTGGAAAATTGAAAGTTATGCCTTCCGATCATGTACTTCAAATAAACAAATCTTAAGTCAATGTCCAGGAAGTAAAATTGTCAATGTCCACAGGATAAAGTCCCCTACCTTGGTAGACGGTAGGATGGGTAAACTTGCTGTAGGTCTTACTTGGCATGGGGCCATTTGTTGGAAACATTTTTGTCAATATACCTGTTGCCTTTTTATAGAAAAACTCAACTAAGTTTCCTTATTCAAAACATCAAAAATGTTATATTTTACTCATATGATTAGTTTTTCAATGGCCTTGGTTTAGATTAGTTTTGTTTATTTTGTTTTTTAGAACAGAAATATTAAGGTTATGAAATATTCTGTTTTAAGCAATGTGTCTAAATAAAGTAACTACTTACGCTGCAAAGAAGTTTTTCCCTTTTTCTAAAAATATGTCCACTATACTAATGTCATTTTGAAAAATGATACTGATTATTAAGGTTATGGTTTACCAATGAAGTATTATGATGTCTGTAAATACCAATTTTACCTTGATTTGGTCGTAGAAATACTTATTTAGCTAGTGCTAAAAGACATTTTGTCGATTTCTATATAGAAATCTGCTGTTATAAGTAACATTTGTTTTATATTCTTTTGTCATGCATATGTTCAATATAAACCTAACTGGTTTTGGTCAGATATAGAAAAACTGTTTACTTTTAAAACACAAATATGTAGATTGAATTTGATTCGCCTTGTGACTAGAGAACCAACTGTTTGGTCAGTTTTAAGACACTCATTGATTTTATTATATAAATATACACTTACTGACCTATGGTCGAATTTCAAGACGTAAGATTGAACATGCAAACAGTGATTGAATACGCTGATTTTGTTTTACCAAATATGTAGACCTATAAACTTTGATTGATGAAGCAGTGTACATATAGTTCATCAATAATATAGACTTTTGCCTATGTTTAGATATCTACGCATATAACCGGGTATGCAGACCGTTGATCTCATTTATAGACATTATATTCGCATATTTGCACAGATACGGGCTGTTAATAAAATTTACAGACCTAAGACCGAGTATTCGGACGTATGACCGAACATGCAAATCAATTACCGAACATGCAGTCCTATGACCGAACATGCAGACCAATGACCGACTTCGAGACATAATAAATTATGATCCATTATATAAACTGATACTTTGCTGATTTTAAACATATATTTTAAAGATATCAAATCTTTTTACACAAAACAATTCGGCATTTTTCAGGTCGACAGTGCGGAGAAATTAGTGTCCCTCCTGACGACGCCGGATAAAAACTCGAACATTGACCGGACTCAAGATTTCAGCAGTATCCTTATAGGATTTCCGGTGGATGAAATGAGCTCGGACGATTATCAGATGACGAAATATTCCTACTTATTCCAGGACAACCAACTTGATGTAATACCTTTACCAGACTGAACATTTCCAGTGAACAATCTATGTATATTATGAGCAAGGTAGGTCATATTTAAAAATGTTATACATTTGTACATGTATATGATTTTATTTTCCTACAAATTGTTTTGGAATATAGCTGAATAATTGTAGGATGACTTTAATGGACCACTAGAAAGTACTGTCTATCATTTACTACATTTATTATGCACTATTTCTGAATCAGAAAAAAATGTTGATAATTTAATGACGTTTTTCCATGCTCCAAACAACGTACTCTTATCAATCATGTACTCTTATCAATCCTCGCTTTGTACACATATTAAACTATAAGAAACTGTGATTTTTCTGTGACGTAGCTATTTTCAGTGTACATTGTCAAGAACATGAAGATTCTATATTGATAAGCAACTGAACATATATGTATTATACTACTCAAATAGAAAAAAATGAGGTTTTTTTTCTAAAATATTATATTTGTATATATTTTTGTATTTCAGTGGATAGCACAAGTCCATAAAAGTTTCCGTCCAGTTATATGTAATGGCGTCATCATTTTGAGTGATCTACAAAATATACAAGACATTTTTGACTCATCTTAAGGGACGGTCTGTTATACTGACGTTATTTCTTGACGTCATTGTTTCTTACATGACATGAGTGTGATCTTTAACATACGTCTGTAAAAGAAAGGTCAAAGTTCAATTTCAATCACTATAGAACAATCTAGCTCACTACATGTACTTCATTTAACATATGAATATTTAATGAGGTATGCACGTGATGCTTCTGTGTGTAATTATATAATCGATATCATATGATCGATATTAGATAAACGATATAAGAGAATCGATATAAGACACTCGATTTTATATTATCGGTATTATATAATCGATATGAAATGGTTGCAAGTTTCAAGTAACTTTTAACGCATGAAAGACTCGTCGATATTTAACATACACCAATATTACCAATAAAACCAAACAAACAAACCAATAAAGTTATTTTGATTCAGTGCTAAAATGTTCAATCAGTGCGAAAAGTTCATCTTTGGTAATCATATATGCATGATTCATTTCTATCATCAAATTGACTTGGCGTGTTTTGAACACTTTCTGTTGAAATTAAAAGTTTCAGATCTACCTTTAGAATTTTATTAGCAGTATTTATAAATTTATGTTGCAACAATGTTTTGTTGGGTTATTTTAACAAAGAAATAACAGTCTAACTTTATGTTATTAAGACAATATTGCTCCATATCGCTATGGGTTCGAATCCTGCCAGAGTCTTTGTATTTGTTATGTGAAGAAGTGATCCAGCTAGCTTACCGAATGTGTGGTTCTACTCAGGTGCCCGCTCGTGCCTGAAATAATGCTGGGAGATGCAGCTTAATTAACTCGTCTGCTTATAGTTTTCCTATGACCTTTAAAGTGCTGGTTTTACCTAAACCCCATATATATTATATGTTATTGCCTAATAGTATTTCCGTAAAATAATATATATTTAAGTTGCATATATCATCAGTGTAAATACCACCATGTTTATGTGCTGGCCACATTAACTTATTTATGTTTGTTTCAATAATATCCTTTCACATATGTGTTTATAAGCTGTTTATTTATCATTATGTTGTTTGCTTAACTTGTGGATTAGTTTTTATGATGCTTTCATTTTTACTTATTCAGTTTTCTGTTTTTAGTAGTTTGTATACATGTATTTATATGTTACAGGAATCTTGCCCATTTCACTCATATACCGATTTTTTTTCTGACAAAACAATTTCATCAGTCAGAAGTCACCGCTTTATTATTTTTTATTGTTAAACAGTATCCCACACATTTTGATTCTTTTAGAATCTTGGATCTGCTCAGGCTCAAAATTCACATTATGAAAGACATCCAAAAAGAAACTTTTCAATCCAAATGATTTGTTGATTCTGGTGCTTCAAAGGAGTTTCTGTAAATAAAATTTTATTTGGAGCGCTTCGTTATTTTAAACCCCAAACTATTTTCAGTAATATTTATTTTGTTTCTTACTAAAGAATAAGATTACTTGCTTGTTTTTACTTGCCTAAATTTTTGAGATACTGGTTATACAAGCATTCATTTTAGTGATAAAAACATTAACTAGCATAAAATTTTATTGATACAATTTTACTAGCGTAAAGTTAAATGATACAAGTTTCTTTTTAGCATAAATGTTAGAGATGAAAGTTTAACTAGCATAAATTGTATAGATAAAAGTTTTACTTTCATTGTTTTTATAGATAAAGATTTTAATAGAATAAAATAATAAATAAATGTTTTAATAGAATACCTTTTAAAGATGGACTTTTTACAAGCATAAAATTTATAGAAAAAGAATTAAAGTGTAATCAGAAATAATATTGTAGCCAAATGCTGGCACTGTTTTTGTCAAAAATGAATTTTCCTACATGCTCTTTTATTTCTCAGATATATTTTTCTTTTTTTTTCTTTTACAATTTTGCTGTGCAAAGTATTAGTCTATATATTATTTATTAAATGTCATCAGACGAACAACTGTATTTATCATAATAATAACTTAATTCTTCCCTCATTGCATAAACATGTGTTTAAGATAAATGAGCCGCGTCACGACAAAACCAACATAATGGGTTTGCATCCGCGCAGTCTGATCAGGATCCGTGTTGTTCGCTTACCAACTCTATTACAAGTAGAGAAACTGATAGCGAACAGCATGGATCCTGATCAGACTGCGCGGACGCGCAGGCTGGTCTGGATCCATGCTGGTCGCAAACCCATTATTGTGTTGGTTTTGTCGTGACGCGGCTCAAATGTGTGACATGTATAATGCGGATTGGGAAATGACTTTTGCATGCATATGTCTGGTTATGTAATCGAAATATTTGTTAATGACTAATTTGTTATAATATGCTGTATCAGTTGAAATGAATAGTGTATTGTGTGTTACAAATACTGAAATAAAACAATAAAAATCAAGTATGATTATTTATAGTAGTGTTGTATATTTTATATTTGTACAAGAATTTTAACCCTTTCATCCCCTATTAAATTGTATAGAAAACAACGACAACAACAGCAAAAAATAACACAGATCGTATGGGTCAAGCTCTGGACAGGTCGTGCCTTTGAACGTAAATCGTATACATGTATTTAGCACTCATTTATACATTGATCGACGATGGCCTTTAATTTTATACTAGTATATTTACCCATTAACTGCGGAATTTCTTAAAATGGACTTGTCAAGCTTCCATTTTTTGGAACTATGCATTATTAATTTTGGTGATTTTAAGTTGGTTAAACCCGTGCATACTACACGGATATGCTGGCTGGCCTGACACTTGACCATCATTTCCGGTTCCCGCAGGTTAAGTGATTTTTATAAACCGGTGCAAGAACAGAAAATGTGTGCTCTAATTATATGCATAGCATACATAATTGTTTATATAGCAAAAAGGTAAAACTATCACAATTCCTTAAATTTGTTATGTTTCATAAATTATACGTAAAACAACCCGCATTTATCAAATAGTTTCAAATATTAGTTTCAAACAACAAGCATTTTACTTACTAGTGTTTCAAAGGTAACTTGCTTCCGTGCTTTTTATTTAATAACTCAAGGTAAAAGCCAAGTTTAATTAAGTTTTTAGACATCTTAGAGACAAAAGTATTAACCTTTCCTGCTGGTTCCAATCGGTTTAACTTTTTATATCATCACAGCACATACATTTAACAACGTGTCGTTAGGTCGTTTTTCACGTTTTTAAAGCCGTGATAAAATAAATGTTACCAGGTTAATAACAGTGAATTACATTGCCATCAATTTGTGCATGCGCTCTTAAATGAAACTTTTTTAAGAAGTCTGCATCGCTTAAATGCTGATTCAATAATGGATTTTCAAAGTTTAAAGGAATTAAATTTCAAAATAAAAAAATCAAAATCCCTTCTTATACTTTGGATTATTGCATTTGAGGAAAATATGCAGCAAGCTTATAGGAAGTCGTTGGTACTTCTCAGGCGCTACTTGTGCACGAAGGGGCACTCAAGGGTAAAGCTTAAAAATCGCCGTATGACATTTACAGTGTATTTGCGGTTTGCAATTGAAAACTACAAATAGATAGGCCAAATTGTTCTACATGCACAAACAGAATAAGGCCTGCTCAGACTGCACAGATTGGCTGAATGGCTGGCCCTTTCAAACGCTATTCAGTTCCGGCAGGTTTAGACCTTATAGCTTAGAAACCTCAGAAAATCTTAATCGGACACTCTTGACCTGCTTCTTGATAAGCATAACGGTCGTCCATATTACTTACCCCATCAATGTGCTCCATAAGTAACTTTTTCGTATGGGACAGTTATATATGCTATAAAAAATCAATTGTTCTCATAATAAACGAAACAAAATAGGCAAACTGTGCAGAGGAAGGAGCGGCCACCGGGTCATTCTTTCTTCCAGACATTATTTGACATGATGTTGCTCAAATCCCAGTATTATGTATCATCAGTTTCAGCATATGCAAAGAGGTATGGAGAAAACCTGTTTCTTTATCATATCATCCATATTTTTAAAAAAACCTTGAGATTGGACATGATGTTCATGTAATTATTTTAGGGTGTTTTATATTGAGGATATAATGTTTCAGATATGGTAAGGTGTCCCCTTGAGAAAGGATAACATGTTCTTTGTAGATATTTTGTAGATATATTCAGATGTTCCCTGGTGTCAGAGTGAGGTGTTCCTTTTTAATTCAGCTACATCTAGTTTCATATTATTGCCACACGTAGCTGCATTCGGTTTTACATTGGCATAAGTGGCTACATCCAGCTTTACATTGACACCAGTTGCTGCATCCAGTTTTACATTGACACCAGTTGTTGCATCTAGTTTCATATTGCAGGAAGTGACTACATCCATTGTAGTTATCAATATTGCCACAAGTGGCTTCAGTCAGTTTTACATTGGCATAAGTAATTACGTCTTGTTTTACATTGGCAAAAAGTAGATTTTTTTTTGCACAAAGGTAAACGTTAACTTTTTCATAATTTTACGTGGGCGCCAGTGACTATATCTAGTTTAATATCGGCACAATCTCCGAAGGTCCACTGTCCCATGAAATTGGCTACTGTTACGTAAACATCTTTATTAATAATTCCAGGTATGTAACATTCAACTTTCTGTTTTTCACCGCAGTGTTTTCGTATTTATTAATTCATTACTGTATTAAAAGTGTTTTTGTATGTGATCAGACAACAACGTTTGGCTAAGTATCGTATAAAAAGGTTAGGTAGGAGGTAGTTGTTGGGTAGGTGAGGCTGTTGATTTTTCTGGAAAAATATCAAAGTTTGAAGATCATTATGAAAAATTTATCACCATAATTATGCGGGCGTCATGGCATATCATGCATTGACAAGACCTTTGTCTCCATCAGAAGGATATTGGCAGAAAAATAAAACAGAATCGAATCGAATGGACATCATAAACAAAGTGTTTTTCTAACACCAATGATGACAACATTTACAGAGACATTCGACGCATTGCTTGCGGTGGTCATTTACGAGATAAAATTAAGTGGGTTAATTATTTCCGACTCTAAGTTTGTAACTACTCTTAAGCCTAAGTGTTACTGGCTTTAAAGGAAGTAGAATAATGTAGGAGATATTGGCATTTTCAAATGCAATATATCAGTAAGGTCTGGAAAATGCCCTCAACAAAAGATTTAGCATTTAATATGAACTTTAAAAAACATTTCTGGAAAGTGATTTATCGATATATTACTTAGGTAAATGCCGGCTACGTGCAGACATTGGCGTTGGCCAAAGGGCAATTATTATATAATATTAAAGAAGAAGAAGAAAAAGAAACATCAGGAAAAATCAGGAACATATTCATTTTAATCAAATCTACAGTATTACCGTTGTCAGCATTTCAAACATAAACTCAATTTATTTTTATCAAAGGCACACTCGTTAAGTCTCAGAATTAGGAATTAAGTTTCATTCTTTTTAGAAAGCGCATAAATCTCTTTTATAGGCTTTTAGCATGTTAGATGCTTATCACCTGAAAGGTAGCACTGAGTATGAAATATTTTCTAGCAAAATTAGTATTTTGACTACAAAAAATAAATGCAAAATATAAAATAACTATATAACCACTTATTACCAAAAACTAAAAGAGGCAAAAGCTGGTTCTGCTTTATGGCCAATGAGTAACCATTTGGAAACTGTTAAAGTAAATTAAATATTAAAGCTTTTGAGAAATAAAAATGATAGCATTTTGGGGTGTAATGGGTCTTTAAAAATAAACGACCGACAAATGTTACTGTGGCAAGCAATATCAATACTGAATGTTATCAATCGCCGGAATATATGTTTTTTTTCAGGCACGAGCCATCGTGCTCGGTAGAATCCCTATGTCAGCAATTTTCAACAAATCTTCAAAAGTGATATATTTAAACATATATAAAGCAGGAAGAAGGTGCATTCATCCTAGTTTATATGTAAATTAGGGTGAATTACTGAAGGTGTGTTTCATTAATATGCGGAAATGAAATTTCCCCTAAAAGATACACAGTAATATCACGAAAATGATTGGTATCTAAATACAGTGTCTTGTATCTAAAAAATGACGTGATGGAGAAACACCGTTTAAACATATCAAGTATTTAAACGGCAATTCATATGTAACAAAAATGCATTAACACTAGCGAATATATTTTCGTGACATAATCAAAAATGCAAAAACTTATATAGATATATAAAAGAATGATCGTTTCAGGTGTTTTAATACTATTTTAGATAGGAAAGTTGTGTGCATTTCCCGATATTACACACCTAAAAGGCTATATTTGGTATTAAAATATGAATTGTATATAACCCAGTTTCACCTTAAACTATGTGTAAATGATATTTAAAGTTATGATTAAGGAGATTCAAATATCTCGAGCTAGATATAACCGGACTAGCCATATATAGAAGTTTAAATTTAGCGGACAAAGCCAAATTCAGTAATCCCGGGCCCTATTTGAACTTCGACTTAAAATTACAAGATAACAAAAGCCGTATATAGTTCAATATTTTCAGTGACAAAGCATCTAAAATATTGTGTTTTTATTTTGAATGACGCACTCCGTGCAAATAATCAAACAATATATTCCAAAATCGTGATAGTTTTGTTGTGGATGACGTCAGAACTACAATTGCGAGCTACTACAAATTAACCCGGATATACACGAACCCACGTGACCGAGTTTAGCTAAATTTAGTTAGTATATAAACGAAAAATTTTCCTACCGTTAAATCAATCGGGAGACACTACTACAACCGGGTGGATGGGCGGGTTTAAGGACAATTTTACAAAATTGTAAACATTAGTGTAGACACCCTTAAATGGCAGAAAATGCGTATTTCTATAATGACTAAACAAGAATTTATAACACACTGAGTAAACAAATCCACCCTGTTATGGATTACCCGATTAGTAATTAATGCTATTTGTCATGAATTTGCAATGTGCAATCAATACTGCATCATGTAAATCATGATCTTTTTACAAATATTGATGATAATATTAAATGATTCAAATAATAAGGAAAAGTGTTGTTTTTCTTAAATAAGACGACTGGCATTTTTCAAAATTATTTTTTCAGACGACAAATTAAAGGGAAACAACCTATTCTCAATGCAGGTAGCTCTTAAGCTAAATCAAAACCTCTCGAGTTGTCTCTCTTATACAAATGAACGTGCATATGTATATATTGTAATTTTTTCTTTAGTTAAGCATTACATTTCCACACCTACACACATAATATTTTTTATTATCAAAATAGTACAAAACATGAAAAAATACAGCTCATATCTGCCAAAACATAAATTACAATCAGCATTTCTGTTTGTGCTTCATCTCTGAAAATGTCTTTGTCTTTTAATATATGGAATTGCCGGAAATACTATTTGAAACTAGTATTTCCGGCAATGCAATACATGCA